ATGCAGTAAGCAGAGGGCCCCTTAGCCTGCTGTCCTGCCAAGCACAGCAGCCAAAAGCAACAGGCTCACAAGGTACAGGTATCCCTTGTTATGGCTGGCAACAGAAACCTGTCCTCAGACAGAGCCTGCACTGAGTTGTGAACAGCTTACACACAGTCACAAAGCCCAAAAGACCACTCTACTGAGGGCAGAACAGGGCAATCTGGGGATACTGCAGCCACAGTGGCTACCTTAAACATCTCTAGCTAAGAAGTGCCTTCTGCCTGCAGCCCTGTTTTCAGACTGTAACAAAGCCTTGAGATCAGTGGTACAAAAGAGCATATCGTCTCTTTCTGTAAGTGATATATGGCTTTTCAATTTCCTCAAGCAGCCCCTTAGTCAGCAGCAACAACCCACACCGTCCTGCTCTCTTCTCCAGCTGTACCCAGCTGTAGCTTCACCAACTCCCAAAGCAAAACAGGAATGGATGACTGCAGCTACTCACAAGAACAACAGCAAAATATTTTCTCGGTCTCCACGACAACAGGCATATCAAAGAGACAAATCTCTCTGACTGCTTCTCCCCACGCTCTCCATCTCCCTGTGTCCTGCCCGTCTGTGCTCCCCACTGTCCATCTGATATGTACCTGCGGCAGCAGAAGTCCTCCTACCTTCCTATAAAAATGACTGCCAGCCTTATATACACAGGGGCTGGTGTCCCTGCTGCCAGGACCCTGGTCAACCCCAGGGAAATGCAGCAATTCCCATCCCTGGCTTTCCTCTTGCCAAAAATACCGCAGCTTCCAACAAAGGGAGATCAAGCGTGTTAACCCTGCCGCCCCAGCTGGCCCAACCCAAACCTTGCTCTTGGTACCCACGTTCCAAGGGAGAGGCCTCTTTTCCTTGCTCCTGGGTGGCCACCCAGTGTCAGCAGCTCCCTGTGATAATTCACGACCAGGCGCGGCCAGTGGCGAGGGCTCGGCGGCGGGGACCGCGAGGGCTCCATTATCCTTCTCTCCAGCCCAAGCTGCAAGGGCAGACAATAGACACACAGCCCCAGAGACGCACTCTGACCCCAATGCCTCGGACCACCAGGCTGCTAAACAAGAGGCAGGACCCCTGTGGTCATGGGAATCTCCAGCCTGCGTTTAAAATTAACTGTGTTTGTTGGTGAGCTTGGCCAAAGCTGGCTCTAACACTTCCAGGTGTACACTCTCTGCAAGATATTCTCCATCTGGATACAGACAGGTGAGCACAAAGAGAGGAAGACAGAATGCCTCAGAACAGCGTTTGGATGAGCAGCCGCTGCCTGTGATTTTTCATGTATAGCTTTAGTTTAGTGAATAAGTCAAAATTTTCTACTGAGCCTTTTCATACTACAGACAGGCAAATCTGTGCCTTGTTGAGGACAGCAGCTTAGGCCCAGGGCTCTGTTTGCTGTGATCTGCTTAAATCTGCTTAAACGCAGTGAAGTGCTTTCTGTTGGCTGGGAGCAGCTCACATGCTCCAGAGAATTCATGATCAGCAGCCAGCTTTGACCAGCTCACCTTGTACAGATCCTCCTCTGCACATCCCAACAGGACTCAGAGGGGGTTGTGTAACAACTGGTTTGGAAGGGCCAGTTCTTCCAGGAAGATGGCAGTCCTGATTTCTCTATGAGCAAGCAGATTTGTGCAAAGAAATTGAACACCTCGTGGACCAATTTGCCAAGTTGTCTTTACAGTGAGATATGCAACATTTCTTAGTATATGCTGATGGACTGGAGAACAAACACAGTGCTGAAAAGTAAAATGCACAGCCAGATAATGCAGCTGGTAGTTAATGGCTACAGTATGTGACACTTCATATCCACCGAGTCAACACTGAGCTGCTTTGCCTTCCCTGCTTTCTGCTAAGCAGGTTGGCAAAAAAGGAGAGTGGTTGATCTAGTAACGTATTTAACACAACCTTGAACTGAATTACAAGCAAAAGCCAGAAGCTTGCCTCATTTTAATAGTTAAATCATTTCTTTCTAGGACAAAAACATAAAAACATAACCCCCAATCCTGCCCTGAAGTCATTACCAGCATGATCTTCTATTTGAAGTCTTGCAAATGCTCAAGGAATGGCCCTTGTGATTTGGCCAAGGCAAACCAGGCACTCAGCAGCTCTACACAGGCCAGAGGAAATGCAGATCCCAGTATGAGAAGATTAAATTATTATGGCTTTTGCAACAGGGGGCACAACTGTGAGTGGCCCCCTTCCTCTGCTGACCAGGCTGTGCTCCTCCCTGCCGTGAGCACTCACTGTCACACCTAATATTGGCAGGCTTTGATAATTATAACATTGTCAAGATAATAGCAGGGAAGTTTCAGTAGAAACTCCATATTCAAGAGCCAGCTGTGCATAATCCCAGTTGCTTTTTCTAAGAAGATGCCTTCAAAAAGCAAAATTCAGCCTAGCATCTGAGAAAAAAAATAAAAATAAAAAAAATTCCCCCTCACCAAAAGTAAAAGAAAGGAAAGGAGGTTATTGGACAGGAGAGGGATAAAGACATTATTACATGAGTTTACATGTATTACTACATGAGTTTAAATTTCTCAAAGTTCTCAAAGGCATTTTGGTCACTGCAAGCAAATAACATTGCAAACAGAGAAGCAGGCCTTATATCAGAATAATTATCTTTGTGAGGTATACTGATTGCTCTGATCGAGCTGGAAGAGTTTGGGAGCTTTGCTCCCTCATTCACCTTCTTGCAGGACATAACCATTCAACAGCTCCAACGAGATGGGACATAATGTGATTTATGGCAAGAATGGTACTATTGCTCAAGTCCAAAAACTCTGTATTTCTTAGGGTTTTGGCAAACTTGCTGCTTTGTCCACACAAAATAATGGCTTAAGAAATGAAAGGAGAATGAAAAAGTCTGCTCCCTGTCCTCTTTGTCCTTTCTCCCTATTTCAGACTCTGTCATCCTGAGTTACCCAGGCTAAGGGCTTCAGGACTCTGGTGAAAAAGCCCAGCAAGGTGAATGCCATGCACTGAGCCCTCAGGGCACTGGAAGCTTCCCCTTTCCTGCACTGAGGGCACCCCTGCAGCCCACAGCCACTGAAGGGCTGAGCTATGGCACTTGCACAGTCCTCACCTGCCTCTTCTGTGCTTTTTGCTCACCTTGGCCTCATTCTACACTTTAGTTTTCTTTTTGAAGTCCTCTGAATTCAAGTGGTTTCTCCAGTGCTTCACACACCTCTCCAAATATGCTGAGACATAAAAACTATATATTTGCTTCTAGATTCAGGAACTTTTGGTCAGTGGACTGCACTGAGCAGTGCTGGTCTGTAACTTCAGTCCCAAAGCACTTTTCACAGAGAGAGAGAGAGAAAAAAGACCAGAGTTTAAAACCACTTCAAGCAAAGCCAACCTTCACTCTCTCTTGCTGACACCTCTGAAATTCTAACAGGTCTGTATACAGTTCTTTAGCATAACTCAACTCACACAGTGCAAGTTACAGCCCAAAAGGCAGGTGATGAGGGGGAATCCCACAATATTTTACATCATTTGTCCTGAGCAGCGTTTATACATTTCTAGGCCCTTGCAGGAGTCAGAAGAAGGTAGTGGAGGCACAGAGACCTACCTGTGATTCACATAAACTGGGGATGTGTCTCTTCACTGGCTGGTGTCCTGTAGAATTATATATACAGCAAGAGAGACATGAGCATAAATTACCAAGCAGAGAAATGCCTTCTCTGACTCTCATTTGCAGCACATTGCTGTGTGAGCAAGGACCAGCACAGAAGATGCAGCACAGAACAAAACCCCACAGGACAGAGCTGGAGCCTCAGGCCAGAACCACTGGAAAGAGTATTCCTTGAAGGTGGGAAGCTACTGAGGGAATAACAATCTCTAAAAGAAATCAACAGAAATGAGCAGAGATGGTAGCTAACTGGATATGCCTAGGAGACATAAATACCAAAATAAGAATGGCAAGTCCTTCCCTTGCTTCTGGGGAAGTACTGCCTTCTTTGGAGGCCTTTGAAAAACAGATCACAGGGCTAATAATCCATCATTTCCTCCCATGGACCAATCCAGATAATGGTGTCCCACCACCACCTCCCTGTCAGGAGACTAAAAGACAACAAAACATTTATTAAATGCTTTTGAGTACACTCTGTAATTCCAGCAGAGTAAGGACAGAAATATATATATATACACATATATATACACACACACACACATATATATATATATATATATATACACACATATACACACACACACACATATATATATATATCAAACAAACTATGTCTCAGCAGCACAGCCTCACTGCCCCAAAAGCACCAACCCCAGGCAATGGGTTACCCTTAATTTCTGCCTTTGGCACCCCTGTGCCTTGGACAGCCAGCCTCCCATAGAAGGCCGAGGAAGGGGCTGCCTCAATCCCCAGTACTGGGAGTAGCACTCCCAGCTCAAGTCAAGAGAGTGGAAAGAGTCTGAAATCCCTGACAACTTTATTTCCTTCCCTCTCTTACCAGGCTCTGCTCCTGCAATTTAGTTCTGAATTCCTGCTGTGTCACTCACTTGCCCTTCAGGACTAACAAGTGGACATCATGATGGCTTGCGGAAGGAAAGGTATCAGCAGAGCATAAGGAACAAATCCAAGGGATGGAAAGCAAGGAATAAACTCCAATGTTTCAGCCCAAAACATCAAAGTCCTTATACAGCACATAGATTTTGAGGGGTTTCCTGGTTTTTTTGTGTCTTGGACAAGCAAGGGAGCAGGCATTTTGCTGGGAGCTGCTGAGTGTGGAAGGGCAACTTCAGGATTCGTACCCACAGCCCAAGTGTATCCCCAAGCTGGCTGCTCTCTCCTTTGGGAGGGGCACTGTGGGACAGGCAGGAGAGGGGGAAGGAGGGAGGCTTTTCTTTACACTTGTGCTGTGCTGAATGTGGACCATCTGTGCCCCCAGCTGGAGTGCTGGAGATGGTCTGGCACTTGAACCACACCATATTTACAGATCTAAACACAAATGGCTACTGCCTGATTGTTTCATGATTCATTAGTCAGACAAGCTCTCCTCTCCCGCCAGCACAGCTGTTACAGAGTAAACCTTTGTCACTTAATAGGCCTGATTATTACTTTCCATCAAAGGTATTGATCTGTGTCATCTCTACTTAAGGGAAAAGGGGAGAAGCGAAAAGGGGACCAAAATGTGTCGGGAAAACAAGAAAGGGGGGAAAAAAATTCTGAAAGAATGACATTTCTCTGGTGAGCAGGGGCAGCGGTCAATGCGTCTCATCTCTCCTGCCTGTACTGTGCTGGTGTATTCATTTGCCACGGTGCCGAGGTTACTCGTGGAGATGAAACGTCTCACATGATGTGGCGCTCCTTGCGCCGCACCAGACTGCTGCAGTCACACAATATGGCCATGCATATAATTGCTCGGCCAAAGACACTACGTGAATTAACAAACAGAATTTTTAAAAAAATAGAAATCAATTAAGACAAGCAGCAGAAGGTAAAATACAGGTTCATCTCCAAATGGCCCTGCAGAGATTGATGGCGAGATGTGGGTGAGCAGCCCCAGGGCTGAGGCCTCGGCCGCCGTGGTCGGTGCCGCTCCCCCAGTTTACACCCGTGGAGAAGCTGGTCCTTTTTGTTCAGCGCACGGGCTCGGGTGGGATGTGGCTGTTACATCATTGCCATGCAGTGTTCCACCACAGCTTGAGAGCTCCTCGTTGCTCCACAGCCACCTGCCAAGCTGCCGTTGCAGCAATCCAGGGTTATTGTGGAATCACTCGCTCCGCCGGCAGGAGGAGGTTTGCATCAGCCAGACTGGGAGTTTCATGGGCCCTCTGACTCCCAGCACCGTTAACAGCAGCATTTTTGCTTCCTGCTGCATCCAGCATGCCAGCAACTGGGAAGGCAGTTCAGAACCACAAATGTGGCACTGGGGAGTGAGCAAGATTTCCAGCTAAGAGTTTCACTCTCCCTTTTCCTTGCATTTAAGGCATCATCTCTCCTGAGGCCCATTCCCAAAGCCCTCAGCCAGTCCTCTTTCAGACCAGGTGAAGTTCTGGGAGGTACAGGACAGAAGAGACTAAGTGAAGTCTGCTTGGCTTGCACCCACAGCAGCACAACAGTGTGACAACTGGGATCACAGAGGAATAAAAGCAATAAATGTGTCTTCAGAGCCAAAGACGGTATGCAAAACCAGTTTAGTGTTCTGAGTGCTGTGTCCAGTTCTCTCTCCCAATTCCAGAACAGTTTTGGAGCAGTCCCAAAATGACTGCTGCTCAGCTACCCCAGAGAACATGTTCTTTCTGAGTAAACCCCACTCCCTTTGTTCCAAATCTCAAGAGCTGTAGAGCAGGGCAAGGAATCATCCTGTAAATCCTTTTGGAACAGAGAACTCCAAGACCCAAACACATTCCTACGCAGTACAGTAGGCATTTTCTTCCCCCAGCACCTCAGGAGCAGTCTAGATGTACAAGGAGCTTGTCCTCAACCCCAAAGTGTGTTTTCCAAGCAAAGAGTCCAGCAGGACGTACCACAGGGAAGACCAGTCACTAAAGGCAAAGCACTGGTGAGAGAATGAAGGAGAAGGAGTTGGAATGCACATCTTTGCTGTGGAGACCTGCTCAGAGCACATGATTTCCCCTGAGGTCAGCCTACCTTGGGGCCATAACTGCCTGTCCAGCCAAGGTTGGAGAGGGCACTGGCAGACACTGTCCCAGCATGTCTGCGGACAGGGAAGTCATCCACACTCTCAGGAGAGGAGGACACAGGCATGTGTGCAGCTCTGACATGGAACATTCTCTTCCCATCCAGTTTCCACCCAAAGCTCTGAAACAGACCAAAAGACGCATGACTGAATCCGTGCTCCTCAGAAAACCTGCCGTCTCCACCCCAGCATTTCCCCCAGCCCACCCAGGTCTCATCATGCCCCCTCTCTCCCCGAAGCACCCGCACCTTAGCCGCATGGAAAGGGAATTCAGAAAGCTGCAGCACGTGTCACCAAGCGAGAGTCGTGGCACACACAATCCCTGGAAAGAGTAGCTTGGCAATCCTGCGTGAGCTGCGCTTCCCGCCAAGGCCCGGCGCTGCGCCGGTGCCAGGAAATCAGCCGTTCAGCCAGCAGGCACAGCAGCAGCCGCGGACACGGAGCAGCAGAAGGGAGCCGTCAGACCCCAGAGACACACTTGTTCTCTTCTCCTCCCTCGCTACAACAAGGAGCAGGGGGCTGGGGGAGTGAGGAAGCAGCGAGATGCTGGAAATGTTAGCTTAACCCACTGATCTTTCCAATGCATCAAAAAAGAAAAGTGGTTAGTCAGTGCTTAAAGAGAGACCCAAACCAACAGACTGAGGTGATACCTTAGAGCTCAGGTTATGAGCAAAAACCTTGCCACTTGAGAGCTTCCTTGCCATGGATAAAGGTGCCCTTTTGTCTCTGAGGCACTCAGAAGGAGGCTGAGTAACACCATCAGGAACAGGCTGTTGGGAACAATCCTGAAGCAAACAGGTCCTCACCATTGTCAACGCTTCACTTCCTTCCCTTGGAGACCATCTTTGATTCTGGCAGTTGGTGACAAGACCAGAGCAAGGAGCCAGTGAGGGAGATGGAAGACACAAAAAACCCAAAACCAAACAACCCAAAAACCCCAGCCAACCAACCAGCCAATCAACTGACCAAACCTCCAGCCAAGTAGGTCTTAAAGCCTTAGCTTTCCAATACCAGTCCTTTCCAGGGACTTGCTGGGATGAGGGGCTTATTAGTGATTTTCCTTCCTGACCTCACTGATACAAATCAGGAGCAATCATAGGAGATCCACATCACACCTGCTGGCAGTGCAGCCCAGTAAGACCTTGCAGAGACCCCGCAGCATTACCAGCAACATCTCTTCAACTTCACTGCACAACTCAGACAGCAACTTCTTCCTGGAATACATCATAGACTACATCCCAACACCCAGCATTATGGATCCTCCTTCTTAAGTCAGGAGGCACTGCTGCCTGGGGTGGATTTCCCACCAACTTCCAACACTGATGTTCTCCCTTCCCTGATCTTCATCCTTGGCAGGCACCAGGGGCCTAAGGCCTGATGACATGACCTACCTGCCGTAAGCATGGCTCTGACTTCTCTGCAAAAGGCAGCAGCAACAGCTGGCTGAGTCCATCCCCAGATTTTTCATATAAATACCTACATTGCTGCCGGTATAAATTGCAGTGGGGCTTTGTCAGGTTCCCTCTGTGAGCCTGGTGAAGTACTGCCCCTCGCAATTGAATTGTGTCATCAGCCCAGGACACCATCCCTGGGAGGGGAGGGAGGAAAGGGAAAAAGAAAAAAGGGAAAGCTTCAGGTCAAACGATTGATTACGGCTCTGAGTTACAGGGGGCTATTGATTTTTCATTAAACACCATGTACTGCTGTAAAGCAGAAAAAAAGTAATTCATTGATCCGAGCTGTGGGCCATGTTCACTTATTGGCTTCCTGCCACTTCCCATTATTCCCAGTTCTAAATGTATACTGAGGTCAGTTCATTCTCATCATTGCCTCCTGTCACCAGAAATGTCTCTCAGTAACTATTAGTTTAATCACCCCTTTCTTACAATGATAATGAGTGATAATATCCAGCATTATGGCAGATTCACGAATATTATTCGATGTATTCTGGTATTGCATTCCACAATGCTCCAGTTAAGGGTCTGTCAGCGTCTCCATTACAAAGCCCCCAGGCCTTGAACTTTATAAATCACTCCTCAAAATTTGCTGCTGCCAGAAGTAAAAAGCAGAGGATGTCTTGGTTCTGGAGAGAATATTGCTAGAAGAGAACTCAGCAAAGTCTTTCTGGCCACCTTTTAGCTGCAGTGAATGAGAGCTGGAAAGGGGAGGGGGAAAAAGGGGGGAGAAAGAAGAGGAACTTGGCCAGCTCAAGCTGCTTTTTCCAGTGGATTAAAATGCCATCATTTCACAAACAGGATGATCTCGCTGTTCCGTTGGACGGCGATTCAGGGACAGGCACGCTCCTCTCCTACAGCTGACACCCAGGCAGCACTGCCATCCTGCCTTGCTGACAGTGACACTGGGACTTGAGAATGTCTGCTCTGAAGCCTTTGCCTTGTGTTTGATAACCTGCACTTTGAGGGTGCTGCCAGCGTAGGGCCAAGGGCTGGAACCCTCAGAGTTTAGTAGCAGCTGCTCGGGTAAAACCTCGGCCTGGGAACAGTGGCAGGTACAGCTTTAGTAAACAGTTCGTACCCAATTCCAGCCCAGAGATTTAGGGGGAAACTGGTCAAATTTGGGATTTACACCCACTGGAAACATATTACAATGACAAGCATTCCACAGAGATGTCACTGGAACTGGATGCCCTAAAAGCAACAGTAGGCTCTGAAGCGTTAATTTCAAAACTGCACTGATGAAGATTTGCTGAGGTGAACAGTCATCAAGCAAGAGGAGGAAAAATAGATATGGCAGGATCCAAAATTCTGCTATGATGAGAGAAGAGAAATAAGCAAGTAGAAACTGCCTCTGAGCTGCCTCCAGCAGCACAGAATCAGGGCTGAATGATGTAAGTGTGAAAAAAAGACTATTTTTATAAAAATAGCTAGATCATCATTTTCTAATATTTAAAAACTTAAAATATTTTCTTTGTCACTAAGAAAAAAAAAAAGCACAAAGGACTATCAAGTGGCCATGCATTTTAGGCTTTCTGTAGGCCTTCTTACACTTTGTGATTTTGTCTTAGTCTTCTAGAATTGAAAGACTCATTCCAGGAGAAAACAGAGGAACAAAACAGATGAACACCCAACCATAACGTAGCACTACACTAATTCAGAAGATTACTCTCAGGTGGACCCTATTCCAGCACCCACACACCGCTGGCAGTGCCAATAATGACTTTTCTCCACCACCATTTAGGGATGCTCCAAGGAGTCCAGCTCAAACTCTTACCTGGAAGAGCTTACAGACCACTCATCCCCTGCACGTGAGGTTGTTGTCCAACCAAAATTGCCCGTGCTGTTACACGCAGGCCAGGTTTGGCCTCTGTTGCTAAAACCTCAAGTGTGTGCCTTTGTCACTTAGCCTGGAGGTGCCAGTGCCACCCTCCCCATCAGGGTTCCAGCCCCGCCACGGCCACCACCAACAGCCACTGCTGGCATGGACGCAACAGGCACAGCAAGGGGCACCCACAGTGCCACCCGGCCCAGGGAAGCGGCTCCTGGGGACAAACTCTAAAGGGGCAGCCAGAGCAGGACTGAGGAGTGTCCCCTTGTCCGCTGCAGGAGGAAGGGACCCCTGGGAATGGACATTTACACCAGACAGCTGAGGGAGTTCTCTGTTTCAGCGGGGGTCTCCAGGTCCCCCCAGCCCTGCTGGAAAGCGAGTCCCAGCTCCAGGCACGACAGCCATCACTCATTTGCTTCCCTGCATTTCCTCGCATGAGGTGGCTTTTCCAATGTGTTCCGATACGCTGCCTCCCCCTGAAGCCAACCTCCTGCCCAAGCTCTTCACAGTTTGTGGTGAAGTAGAGGATGAAGCCTGCTAATTCCCGCTTCTGAGTCCAGAGCCTGTTTGTGCGAGGTCAAGTGGGGCTCAGAAGGGCCATCTGGACAGAAAAGAAACAGCAAATTCCCACCAGGAACTTGCTTTTGTACAACAGGGCTCTGCAGAGGGAGAGGGAAGGGTCCTACGCACGAGGCAGAGATGGTGCCCACTGTAAATGAATTCTAGTGAAGAAAACAGCTAATGGGTGGGTTATAGGGTGTGGGAATAAGGTAGAGGACGATGGCAGGGACAGAAGTGATCAGCCTGAATGCATCAGGTGCAGCCCAGAGGGAGCTCTCCATTCTCAGAGGATGCTGCAGGGATAAATAATACTTTTCTTACCAGGCACATAAACAAAAGAGCAGCATGTCCATGTCAGGTAGTTATATGGCTCCTATTATCAATAAGCACTTGGCAATCTCTGCTGTGTTTATCCCCACAACACCCTGACGAGGGAGGGAAAAACAGTCTTTGCAGATGGAGCAGGTTTGACAGGAGAGATCTTGATTGTGGCAGGGCAAAGTACCTGTGAAGCCAAGGAGAGCAGGACCCAGACTGTTTGAGACACTTCAGCCTCAGGATATCACTTGGATACAGTCAATGTACAAATACATCTGAGGATTCTGGCCTACCTCAAGCACAAACCAGGAGCCTGGCAGGGCCGACTTACCTGCCATGTTCTCTGGAAAATGTTACTCTCATGCTTGCTAAGACAAACAGGAATGAGAGGAGCATCCTGCACCTGCAGGGCACTGCCACAGCCTCCCAAGAAGTTAGAGAGAACTCAGAGCTGTTATTCTGGCTGCCCAAGCACTCCTCGTCTTCCAGAAAGCCCCATGCCTGCGGGATCCAGGTCATTTTAAATGGATTGGTTGATGCTATTACAAATCACCCTAGGAAGGGAGCTCTTACTGGCAAGACCAGTTTATTCCCCTAATATCCCCACCCTGTGCCAAATAAACGGCGTTGATGTCACATCATTTGCAGGGGACAGAAAACCTCTGCAGAGCTGCAACAAACAGCCCTCTCTTGTGCCAGGACATAGCACACATCCTGGGGTAATAAAGGCTTCATTTCATGCTACAGCTCACCTGGGCTGAAGCTGAGATTCAGCAACGTATCCAGGCTCAGCTCTGACTCCACAACAACTCCCACCTAGTCCTGCTATTAATGCTCCCAGATTTTATTCACATTTTTAACTTCTAGCACTGATGAAAGCAGGGTTAAAAGGAAGGGAAAAGGAAAGGAGGGCTTAAAGGGAAAGGGAAGATAAAACCCATTCAGACTCTGTACTTTCCACTTCTCAGGTAACTTTTGTGCAGACCAGTCTGCTGCAACCAAACCTGAGAGAGAACTGACACATTTGAAGACAGTTCAGCTCCAGCAAGGATCATGAAAATAGGTTGCTGGTTGGAGAGAACCAACATCTTACTTCAACAGCAATTTACAGCCCATCTTCAGAGCAGACCCCTCTCTGACTTTCACCAAGTGCTTCACCATCCGTCCATGCAAAGGATCTGTCAGAGCCCACGAGGCTGCAGAGCATCATGAAATATGTGTGTGCTTTGTCAGAAGCATGGCCTAAACACTTACAGTGCTGTAAATATAAACTCAACAGCTGCTGTGCCTTACAGTTCAAGGTAAGGCAGAATAGCTGACGTAAATTGTGCCAGTGTGCTATCAATATAAAACAACAGGGCATGATACATTACCGTGAGCCCTGAGCACTTCACATCTGTCTTGACACCACTGTGGGTTTGACACCCGTCAGTTCAAAGGAGAAAATACAGCCTGCCGAGGGAATCGCTCCAGCCCTGCACCAGGGCGCTTGCCCCACCACGGAGCAGGCAGACAGCACTCTCTGCTCAGGCAGCATTGAAAGATTTGGGCCATGACACACAGGCAAATATGCTGATCTGTTCCATGGGAAAGTACCTGTCAGGATGAGTCTCAGTCCAGCTGAGTGCCTATTGCCAGCACATAACCTTAAGCACCCACTTGAAGAGAGCTGCTCGCAATTTCAATTTATGCGCATACTTATGATGCTGTGTTCATCCACGAGGGCAGGCTAAACCAAGCTCTGCCAGCCCCTGCCTCACCACAGTGCCTCAAGCAGCCCGAGTGGCATTCCTGGCCTCAGCCAGCCTTGGGCCCAGTCTGCCCTGCACCAGAAATGCCACCATGCCCATTACCCACTGCCAACTGCACTGGTTTTAAAACCTCTCTCCCCGGTCCCGAGGGAAGGCTGCTTACTTCTGAACAACAGAAGGCTTGGTTAGATTGTTATGGAAAGCCAGCAAAATATATGGAAGTTGTCAAACAGGGTACAGCCTTGAAGACTCACATGGCAACTGGACACTAAAAGTTAGGGATACAAGGCATCATCAATACCCACCTTCCTGAGCCAAGCCTTTCCTGATCTAAGTATGGCTTAGAAGGCAAGATAAACCTAAGTCACTCCTTAAATAAAGTCCTTTGTCCTTAAAGATGTACTTTTTTTTATTGGCTCTGACCTGACAGAAGCCCTTGGCTTTTGGATGTTTCTCACTCTTTAAAACCCCAAGACCTTTCCTCCATCCTGCTTTTAGAAAGACATTTACCTGTGACAGAGAACTTTTTGTTGAGGTCAAGATACCTGTGTGATTCTGGTGACAGCATTGATGGCATCCACACACTGAGCAAGGCATGTTGCTGGAAAATCAGGGTGGGAGACAAGAGCGTGCTCAGGTCCCCTTCCAACACACACATGGGCAGAGCACTTGC